TTCTCCCTGCACATCCCCCGGCCAGCCAAGAGCAAACCTGAGGAGGAGGAGGAGGAGGAGGAGGAGGAGGAGGAGGAGGAAGGAGCTGTGCCAGGGACCCCCCCGCACAAAAGGGTGAGGGATGGGTGTGCCTGGGGGCAGGGGGTGGGCAGAGCCTCCTCCTGAACCCTCCATTTCTCTCCACAGTTTCGCTCCCTGTTTTTTGGCTCGGTGATGACACCAGGGAGGCCTGGCCCGGCCACCACCCAGGAGGTGCTGGCGGAGGACAGCGATGGAGAAAGCTGAGCCCCGAGTCACTGCCAGCCCCAGCCTCCATCCAACCACCAGGACAGGCACCCCCCAGTGACCCATTACAAGTTTATTCCTCAAAAAAGCCTCCTGCCCCCCCCCTCTGCTGCCACCCCAGGGCTGGGCTCTGGGCTCCCCCCTCGCCCCAGCTCTACCTGCCCTGGGCCTGGATTTGCTTTGGTGGAGCGTGGCGGGAGGGGGGCAGGATCCTACAAATAAAAAAACGAGTCGAAAGAAAAGCGACCTGATGCTTGGGCGGGGGGCTGCGGGGCGTGGGCAGCACAGGGGCGGCTCCCAGCTCATTTCTTGGCTTTGGCAGAGTTTCGGGGAGGGGTGACGGGCCGCCCGGCGGGGTTCAGCCCGCTGAACTGCCCGTATTTGCCTTTGTTCTTGTCGGCCGGCTTCAAAATCTGCGGGGGAAGGGGGAAAGAAATCAGTGAGCTCCCACCCCGGCTCTCCACTGCCCTGGAGGGCAGAACTCCCTGCAGCCCTCCCGGCAGGAACTGGGGGTGTTTCCCCTCCCTGGGCTCACCTGGAAAGAGCACATGAGGGTCTCATCCACGCTCATCATGGCGCCGGCGTTGTCGAACTCGCCGCAGTAGTTGGGGGCCGAGAAGAGGGTGACGAGCTGGCGCTTGGCGAAGAACTCGTAGCCATCCTCCACCACCTGGGGGGGGCACGGGGTTGGCAAAAATCCACCCCCCATGGCCACTATCCCAGTATTCCCAGTCCCCCAGGCTGAAATCCAGCCCTCTCTAGCAAGGTGAATGCTCCCTTCCCCGCAGCAAACAGCCAGCACTGGGACAAACACCCACTGCCCCAGGGCAAATATCCATCTCCAGAGCGATTATCCAGCCTCTGGGAGGAACAGCCACATCCCAGGGTGACTATTCATCCCCCCTGGGCAAATAGTTTGACATCAGAGCAAACACCCAAATGCTGAGGCAAATACCCAAATCCCAGGACAAACACCCCCAGAATTCCAACCCACACACTCCTGGGGTGCACACTGCCCTTGAAGGGGAAACACTCGGGGTAGAACCACCTGACACCCACTGGAGACCCAAACCCCCATGTCCCCAGTGTCTGGGGGTCCCGGTGGTACCTGGTGCGCCCGGCAGATGAGATCCAGGTCATGCTTGTGCAGGAATTTGGCCACCACCTCGGCCCCGAAAGTGAAGGAGACCCCACGGTCGTTCTCCCCCCAGCCCTGCACGTCCTTGTCGGGGTCGGACCAGAGCAGGTCACAGAGCAGCCCCTGATCCGGGACATCCGTGGGCCGCATGATCCGCCGGATCTGCTCCATCGACTGCAGGTCTGGGGACAGCCCTGCGGGAAAGGGGCACCCCAGAGCTCAGCAAGGAGACCCCAACCCTCCTCCAGCCCTCCCAAGCCCCTGGGAAGGGCCATTCCCACCTCCGTGGCAGCAGAAGATCTTCTCATCCACGATGGCAGCAATGGGCAAACAATTGAAGCAGTCGGTGAAGGTCTTCCAGAGCTTGATGTTGTATCTTCGCTTGCCTGCGGGGCACAAAGGGGGCTTGGAGGTGACCCAGGGGACAGCCTGGGGGTGGGCAGGAGGACACCGAGGAAGGGCAGGAAGACATGGTGGGGAGGGAAGGAGGTCACAGGTGGGGTCAGTGTGGGACAGCACTGGGATGACACCGGGAAAGGGGGAGCCCAGGGATGGCAGCGGGGTTTTGGGGGGCACAGCCCGGGCACTCACACTCATCATAGAAGCCATAGATGCGGTTGATGCTGGCACACTCGTGGTTGCCCCGCAGCAGGAAGAAGTTCTCGGGGTACTTGATTTTATAGGCAAGCAGCAGGCAGATGGTCTCCAGGGACTGCTTGCCCCGGTCCACGTAGTCGCCCAAAAATAGGTAATTGCTCTCAGGGGGGAAGCCCCCGTACTCAAAGAGCCTCAGGAGGTCGTAGTACTGCCCGTGGATGTCACCTGGAGGGGGGACACAGGCTGTGAGTGGCACCCTGCAACCCCCCGCACCAGCCCAGTGCTGCCCAGCAGCCATGCAGGCCTCACCGCAGATCTTGAGGGGTGCCTCCAGCTCCAGCAGGATGGGCTGGCTCAGGAAGATCTCCCGGGATTTGAGGCACAGCCCGCGGATCTCGTTCTCTGTCAGCTGCACGTTTTTCCCCGGCCGCGATCCTTGGACTGCTCCCAGCACAGAGAACAGGATCAGGGATCTCCAAGGGCTCGGGGACACCTACAGCACCCCGGGAACCCCTTCTCCAGCTGCCCCAGCCCTCCCTGCCCGTATCCCCCACGCCCTGCAGGCTCAGCTCCAGCCCCCAGACCCTTCGGGGCCCCCCAGTGCCCCTCCGCGGGGCACAGACCCTTTGGGAACCCCCCATTTCCCCCAGCCCCCTCCCGCGGGGCACAGACCCATTCGGGATCCCGCCTCATATCCCCCACATCCCCCGGACTCATCTCCGGCTGCCCAGGCCCCATGGGAACCCCCCAAAACCTTTCCCAGCCCTGACCCCCCCCCCGAACCACCGCGGCCTAACCCGCCCCCGCCAGGCCCGGGGCCGGGGACTCCCCCCGCGGCGTTGGGACGCGGCCCGAGCCGGCCGCGAGAGGTTCCGGGAGCGGAGGGAGGGCGTCCCGGCGCTCGGGGGGGCGGCGGGGGCCCGCTCACCCTCCAGGAGGCGGCTGATGATGGAGTCGAGGTTGAGCTTCTCGGTGTCCGCCATGGCCGCCCGCGCGCCGCCCCGCCTCGCGCGCCCGCCCGCAGCGGCCCCGCCGCGCGCCCGCCCCCTGCCGGCCCGGAGGAGTCGCTGCAGCCCGGCCGGCCCCGGTGCCCCGGGGGAAACGGGGACGGCGCGGCGGGGACACGGGCAGCAGCGAGCCGCGGGACACCGGCA